ATTTCACAGAAATAATCCTGCCAAAGGTAGCGATGCCTACGGCTTCCTTGCTTACCTTGAAGTGCAACCAAACCGGTACAATATGCAAAACGAATACGCTACGGGGGCAGTTACGTAAATGTCTGCTGATCTTGCTTCAAAAGCTTTTAAGAACGGACGGAGGGGAATTGAAATGAAGAGTGCAAGCAAATATGAATGTGGTCAATCAATTGATGATGATAGGTGCCAAATTTTTCCAGACAAAAATTCTAAGCCGAAGAAGCGAACGATAAGCGTCACTAACATCTTGAAAGTCTAACGCAGTAATGATACACCAACCGCTATTAAAATTGACCACCCAGTTGATGTGAGAAATAAGCTGGACGATATGCTCATAAAATTTTATAAGTTGACGACTTGATTTGCCCTATGATGTCGTCGCAAAGTGCGTAGGACATTCAGTAACCCAAAGCCTTCAACCAATCAGTTAAACCTCCTCCATTGGTAACGTTCACATACAATATAAGCCCACACAGCTGTACAATATTTAGTTTTAAGGAAGTCAAAATACCCTTACCAAAACGTTAGAAAAATTCACTAAGGAAAAGGATTTCCAGCCGTAATTTCAACTTTTATTGAATCCAAAGATGTTCGACAAACGTCCCAATGATTGGATGCTAGCAACAAAATCGACCATTACGATAGAAGGGATTGATTTAAAAAGTACTACCAAAACGGACTTCTCACTCTGTAACATCACTTTTGACCCTTATTGTGCAAATAAGCTGGATGGTAAGGAAACATTAGGCAAGAAGATAAGTAGAAACAATGTCGGCATCAGTCTTGCCAAGATTCAGGAGGGATCAAGGCCTTATTGTTTCCCGTCTGTAGACAAATGAGTAGTAAGCTACTAAAGTCGCTAAGCTTTATGGGAACAGCTATTCCGAGAATATGCAAGTCGATTGCAAACCAAGTTTTCCTGTCTCAGCAAGTTAAAGCCCTGGTATACCCAGTTTGCCTCCATGCAGCCACGCAGTAGAGGTCTGTAAAGGCAGCCCACACTCGAATGCCACGAGTTTAACATTCCGTTCTCACAGGTTTGAACACCTAAGCGAAGCTACACAGTGACCACCGAAATCATAAAAATAGACTGCTATTTACTGTCAATCGAATTAACTCCGACCGAAAGATAAATCCAGCTAATCCGTATGGAAAAAAGTATCAAATTCGGTTAGATAAACAATAATGTCCAGATTAAGATGCTTCAGTAGGCTATCACCACTTCGCTCCCGCTCCACCCCCTCCCAACCAAGTTACTTCAAGGTTGTGGTTGATGAAAAATTTGGGGAAATACACATTAGCATAACGACTTTGAAAGGAATAGAGCAGGTCAAGGAAAGAATTGTCATTTGCTATACTCGGATAAACATCCAAAAGGAGCAACCACTTCTTGCACTAACCATCCAGCGACACTATCGGCTTTCGAAAACAGGTGCTATGCCAAAAGACACTATCCTTGCCTACTTTAGCACTAACAAGAGCAAAACCATCGACAGTATTTTGCCTTTAACACCGAGACGAAGGAAAGTTACAGAATGAACATTATTCTACATAATGGTCTCAAATAAAGGAAAGTGTGTGCCAAAAAAGCCGGTGATCGAATAAAGAGGAAAAGATTATCTCTGTAGAGTAAATTTAAAATGAATGCGCAGAATACCTACTTGATCGGACTAGCGGTTGGCTTTGGTAGGTAAGATAGGAGAAGCGAATCAAGTATGTTAGCTTGGTTAGAATTCAGGTAAACAATGAAATACTTTAGGCCAAAGGCACTTTTAAGAGCTTGCCGCAGTTATAAATAGAGGTGGAGGATCTGATACAGAGGTTTCAAAAATGCATCTCTGCTGTATTCTATTAGAACGCCATAGTTTAATCTAAGGCATAAAATGCTACTAAATCACCGTACAGTTAAGAAGCAGGCGCCTAAATAGACCAAAAGTGGTTAATTTTACAGATAAAAAACGATTCATGGTAAATCTGCGAGGAAACTCAGAAGTTGTACCCGCCACATTTTGTTTAAAGCCAAAACGATAAAACGAAAGCTTTAGCATTTCGTAAAATATTCAAAAAAGTACTCGGTTAAGCGCAGACCAGAGAAGTGACAGAAGGTGTTCTGTCCAGACAGGAGGGATAATGGAAACAAGACAGAAGGGATGCGACCACCTTTTTCATAAGGAAAATATGACCAGATATAATAATTATTATTTATCACCACCTTTAGCCTCAGGAAATTAAGATGAATGCTAAAGTCATCGGTTATAGAATCCCTAGGGGCAACATGATGCCAGAGGCCATATTCGTGTAAATTGATTTAAAAATTGGTTGAGGATGAAGTTAAAAAAGATAGGTGCAGCATAGCTTTCGTTCAAAGACAAAATTCATTTTCAAGCACATGCACTGAAACAAGACTCAACAGATTCATTGGACATCTCAAAAGCAGCCCGAGCCACACCCTGACTGCATGCTTTAAACTGAAAATCACGCTCAAAAGACAAACACACACAGGACAACGAAATTACTCGCGAAACCCTATGAACGGATCAGTTTTGAATGGGAGAACCCAAACTAAGTAAGGCTCGATTGTTACACGGTAAATACAAAGTTCTCGGCTTAAAATTCACAGGCAAGCCAAAGTCTAGAGCCAGGAGTTGGAATGAGTGGCTTGGATAGAAGACTGCAAAAAAAACTAACAATGGGTGCTTGGTGGCATAAAACAAAAGCACAGCTACAGCCAGCCCATATGCGTATCTTAACCACACAGATATCTTACATATTCACACGAAATTAAGCTGCATACAATGAAAAGATGAAAGCTATAAATGGGCGGTACAATAGAGGACTAATGTCTTGAAGTTGTGGTTTCAACAAGCAGAAGCTCAATTGTACATAAGCGCTATCATAAGATGAAGATGGGAATTCGGAGTTATGAGCACCAGATATGAGAACAGACTGTTAAGACCATCGTGGGCGTAGGTACACGTCTACTAATAATAACTAAATCAAAATTGATTTCCCCCAAATCCACCCAGCATCAAATATAAGAATGCTCTACAACAATTACACATGTTAAATTTTAGGGAGTCTCCGATCTTGTTGTGATTGTGACAAGAGATGTGCACCCATGTTAACAGAGGTTGATGGGAAGCAAACTAGTCGAAAAAAATAACACGATAATTCGATGAGGAAGACAAGGATGATTGGACCTGGAGCGGGTCAAACCCACCTAAATCGAAATCACAAATCTATGCCATAAGATCGTCACATCATAAAGAGACACGTGACCCCACTCCACAAGAAATACGAATTCAGAAGTCTTTTGACGTACCTACACCCTAGGTTAGACAATGTGAATTACCCCAACGATCATGATTCGGGAATTCACAGGAAAACGAAAGTAAGACCAAAATGTCAATTTGTGATCAGCGGTCGCTACGCCAAGGCATAAGTAGTTAAGAATGAAGCAATTTGCCCAAGCTCACCATACTCATGCATCACAACTAGAGCAGTAAACCTCAGAACAGAATCGTAATGGGTAGAAGGGGATTCACGGGAAAAAGGATATGCTGGAAGGGCAAAGTTACAAAAATGACTTTGAGAAAGCGAAGGAGCCCAAATACGTAGAAGGAGTAATTAAACAAATAAGTACTGTGAAATGGATAAAAAAACAAAAAAAAGATCTTATAGTCGGAAAAAACAATCCTTTAAGTTGAAATGGAAAGTTGATGGATGACGGTATTGCGCATTAGTTAAACCACTTCATCTCGCATCATGTGTAATCTTAAGGATGACCCCTTTGAAATGATACAACAGGAGAAAACAGAAGTTCAAGTCATGTGTAAGAAAAGTCGTAGAAGTCGTGGTAGAACATGAGAGATCTCACCAGGAAGCCCATGATGAAGCCACAGCAATAATCTGAAGTGTTTTTGCTAAAGAACGGGAGCAGGAACATTTCCAAGAAATGATAAACATTAAGAAAGGTGCAATACTTTCAAATCAGACCGACAACCAATAACTGGGAAGGTGAAAACATCTATGAACTCGGTTGCTTGAATTTGGTAAAGTGGGCTTGAAAGGTAAAGTAAAACTGGGCTTAAACAGGACCTAGTCGATAAAAGCTTAATAGGACCTGGGGAAGAAAGTTACCAAGAAATAGCAATTCAGTTTGAGAAGCCTAGAATCAGTTGGAAGATGACTTGGCAGTCGCAGAGATAAGACAATGCATCGCAAAAGTTGTGTGGAAACAAGAGCAGGCTTCGAGTCATCGATGTTTGGCATGCTGTATAAGATTATGCTTGGGTATGGTACGTTTGTCCAACACCTTTGCAATAAGAAGCGCAAAAAATCTTGGACATTCACCGGATTCACTTACCAACGTTATTTCCAGAAGGCTAAAAAAAAAAGGGAAATGACAAACTTGGTCATGCTGGACCGTATTCAACGTAGAAATAAGCCCAAACAATTGTTGCCAACTTCAGATGGATTAGAAAGTCGACTTTTTAAACACTGTCAGCCCCATAATCTTGCACCCTTCAATAGTGCCACAAAGACCTGCCACAATTGAATGCAGCAGATTCAAAGAAATACTTCATTCTAAAGTTAAAACGAACGCAACAAGGAGCTAGAACATTGGAAATCTAAAGAAGAAAACGCTACGATGACCCAGAAAAGTTGTTGGAACGTGCACATCAGCGTGTTTCAAGATTGTAATAGAGACAGCTAAAAGAACGTGACTATAATCTTCACAAACAGGTTGCAACACAATTCCGTTGAGAAGAACGAATTTAAATTGTTTAATGAAACATTTAATAGAAACATTACTAAGAATAGAAGCTCTACAACTGCCTCTAATGCATCGGCTGGTGTAGAATAAATGCAGGGTAGGCTGAACATCCTATACGCAAAGAATTTGTAAAGAAGAAACAAAAAGGAAAATACCATTATTTATACTGAAGTCAGGTAGAACTTCAACAAAGAAGAAGAGCATTCGAACTCGTGAGAATATGGGCATACCTCGCTTGAATTTGATCAATGGCACTAATGGTGTCCAAGTCACGTTTCACTTCGTTGATCGTTTGCGCAAGCTCTCGCATACCATCCAAAGCTGTCAACAACTCGGGCTTTTCAGGATGATCATCATCTGTTAACCTACAGAGTTGCTAGGAGGATAATAAGCACTGATTAACATATCAAGTTTCGTAGTGTAGTTAATAATATAAATTGATGAAGAAATGATACAAACGTAAGACAGCATAAAAATGAATGCAATTTCCGAAGTAGTTCTTTAGCTAATCAGAATTTCAATTATGTCATGCTGACACTGCAACTGGCAGTAAACTAGTGGAATCAACTTGATCTAAGTTAAAACAGTAAACATACTTCAAGCAGGAGATGATACTTCAAAACTCTTTGCATCGGAACAGTCAAGAGCTCTGTGAGATGAAATTTACTATAGTTGTCTGACTGAGCTTGACATTCCTTAAAAGAAAGTTGCAGTGAAACTTAACAACAAGGACCCATGAAAGCATTAAGCGCGTTTCCCAAATTGCCACAAACCTGAATTTTGTTTCGCTTTTCAACATCATTTTTGGTTATCTCCAAGACGAGTGTCTGAGCTTTTTGCACATGACCGCAGTAGCCACCGTAAATCAACAGTCGGTCGCGAATCTTTATGAAGACCTCGCCAAGCGTTACCACCGCCAATGTCGTGCTAACAGCCAGGCTCAAATTCGATAGGAGTTCACGATGAATGCAATGAAGCTCCTAGAGTAAATAATGGAATTATAGAGCCCGACGATGCCGAAATTACCTCAATATACTTGAAAATCTCTTCCAATTCCTGTGATGAAAGCCACTTTGACAACGGCCACTTATATTTCTAAAAGTTTCGAATAATGCACAAAATAGGCTTACTTCGATGAGCATTTTTAAAACATCAACATAATTTTTCTCAGTAGATACGATTTCTTTTATACAAAATGTCCTCGGGGATGTAGGCTCGTCTTCCGTCTGCTACGAAATTACATTTACTCTTGAAAAAAACTACCGTCGTGGAGCCTTTTCCACCATGAACTATCGTATCATAAACGATTTCATTAGTCTCCTCTTCCATATCAGCATAGTTAGATTCTGCAGTGACGTGCATGTCTTCCCTAGGATTAAAGTAAAAAATGTTGCAGACAAATACATGGATGCTGCGATATCTTTAAGGTTATTGTAATATTCATGGGGAACTTGAAGGTTGCCATTTTCGGGTGGGAATCCTCTGTCAAAAAAGGTAAATGAAAAACTATTAAGAGCATACGGTATTCCTGAGAGCTGAGCGCGACTGCAACGAGACAGCCGTGATAAAAGCTCGATGACTTTTCCAAAGTTTTTTGCATGATACAAATCCCCTGGTTCAATGAGGAAATTTTTATCAATTCCAAACTCGTCTTCGCACAGTTTCACAAATAAGCGGATATTTTTGAAACATAAAAACGGCGACTGCTGTGTCTGTGGACTAAAGTCCTTCATTTTCCTTGGATCCACTTCGCCGTTCGTTAAAGTGCTTAAAAGATTGCAAAGTTTGACACCATCCATAAGAGTCTGAACTAGCTGCAGACCGCACCCGTCAGGCATCAAAGTAGGGTGATCATCTGGAATGATACGACACCGGTTCAACCACTCTGCACACTGTCGCAAATCGCATTCTTCTTCGGACACAGAATTAGAATTGGACGTAGGCATAATTAAACCAGCAAAACAACACCCATCAGAAACCGACGTTCACTAGAAGATTAAGACACCAGAGCAATGCAATCTGGGTCACAAATGCTATAGCGAGTATGAAAACACAAGTGGAACAAAGGTAAACACACTAACAACAAGCCCGTATTTGGCGAATAGATAACGCGCAAAGCCACATCTGAAATCAACGCCTCTCTGTCTAAACTACTACTTGGATTATTAAAAATATTAAAGTACATTTTCTTAAATATATGCAGCAGTGAAAAAATTGGTTGTGCAAAATTTAAAGCAAAGCGTATTAATTTTATTGCGCTTTAATTAATTATTAAACACTTACAAAGCGGTTAACTTTTACTCATTCTCAAATGATAACCATAAACTAGATGCAGCGGAGCTTCTTTGTATCTCGCTAAGCAGCACCTTAAATGTGGTCACTTGCTCCTTAAGTAAACTATAATTAGCTTAGAAAATAAACTGATTCTTCCCATAACTCTGAGCATGGAGCTCTTCTGAACTATCACCAAGGCCTAATTCACCCACCCAGCTTTTTATTTGTTACAGACATATTTTAGTAATACAAAGCTGAAATAGCTCCTTCTACGATCATAAGTGAGTAAAATAGGACGTCGTATGCTCTGTATGGACGGATAATTTGGACCTGCATTAGATTGATTAGGCATTGGTTACAGGAAGAACGGGGTTAGGAGTACAGGTGAGCCGAACGGCAGATATCACTCTGAAGAGATTCCTCACTGTCCTCAAACACGGAACCCACATTCCAATTCGGTTCCCACCTCTCCCCTATAAAGGTCGACTTAAACACTCTAGTATATATTAAACATGCAGGTTCAGGGAGCAATCCTTTACTCTGAGCACGGAGTGAATGGGGTATTTTTCGAAATTAGTACAGTCCCGTTTAATGATTCGAAGAGGTTTTTGAGACGAACGCAACGATGGCACTCTTATTAGAAGAATATTCTACTGCCGCTAGGTGCTACCCTTGTATGTACTTCTCATAGTCAATCATGGGTCATTATTTTAAAGTTTTTTGCCCTCAAATAAGACAAAAATGATTCTTGTCGCCATTACGCCGCCTTCGGACTACTTGATATACCGGAGCTTCGATGCTGAAATTCCACCGCGTGTGTTGTTGAATTCAGTCATCAAAATATCCGTGTTTATCGAATAATTTCCTAGGTTGCAATGGTGAATTAATGCACGCATTTATGTACATAATGTTATCAATTTTCATTTAAGCAGTGTCTAAGCTTTGTGTGGCTAGAGAGCATTCCTTTTTAATGATTTATCCAATTACATTATATCATTCAAAAGAATATTAGATCCTTAGATTCCTTGTTAATAAAACTATGGTCGGTACCTAAATATTGGTAAGAACCTGGATGAAAATGAATCAGGATGTCTTACCATCCTTACAATTTTCCTTGGACGTTTAGCGAGGCATGCATGTCAGGGCTGATGGACGGCTAGATTTGAGTGGCTACGAAATTTGTCCGCCAATACGAGTTGTTCTGCCGACCTGGTCGTTGTCTGGTCAGTCTGTTGTTTTCCTTTTCCAGTGTATTAAACGTTATTATACGTAATGAGGTACTTGATTTGATTTCCTTAAAGTACTTTTTTACTGTCGGCATTGTTTGCTTTTTACTTATTAGCTCTACTCATGATTACTGTTTATTTATGGGCATGTGCGTAAGTGAACGGCGATTAACAAATATATTTGCAGTTTTACTCAGTGACAATATGATGGCCTGTTTTTGCACAGTGCAATATACTCAATTTTCGCCAGTCATCACTCTTTTTCGTCTAGCAGAGGTCGTTCTGTTTTTTATTCGCTTGTTTTATGTTACACAATCGAGATTTTTAGTCAGTGTCATTCCATGCTGTAGTTCTACATTGATTTTGCTGGACATCCTCTCTGTATACCGTATTTTTACAATTACCCCTTGCTTCATTAACTGATGTCGGTCAAATGTTCTTTCAGGCCCAGCATCCGAAATGAGTGTCCAGAAATTTAGCTGCTCTGTATGCATACGTTTATATATACACATTTGAGATTTAATTCTGCGCATTTATATTGATTTTACCTTATCAATTTTGCTCTTATCGTTCCTTATTTTTTGCGTTTAGACATGGCAACCGATCAGGAGCTCAAAATATCCCGGATGACAAAAAGATCAATGAATAAAAAAATATTTAGTCGACCCAGCTACAAACTTCGGGAATTTGTACTCACGCCTTACCATATAAAATATTTTGAAGTCAGTGGTGGGGTAAGGCATCTTTTTCGGTCAACTGCGAATTTTAGAATCGGGGAAAAGAAAAAGGCCGTGTCTCTCTCACCCTCGTTAAGTATGTAGAGAAGGTCTTAGATGACGATTTAGACAACAAAAAAAATGTCTTACAGGTACCGTTTTTCATATTCGTAAACGGTTTTTCTAAGATTGCCTACGTCGAAGAACCAAGTTCGATAAACTGGTTTCTGCTGTATATAGTGGCGCCTACGCAGATAGAACGAGATGATTGGATAAGTCTCATTCGATTTTGTAGGTTCCGTTGTATGAACCCATTGGTTGCTTTCTATTAGCAAACCTGATTAAAGTCTATTTATCTCTTGGTGGGGTTATTCTTAGGAATTTTACACCCTTACAGCCGCGGTTGAATATGAAACGATTTAAGATAGTGCATATTGGTACGAAGGAGTGTAACCTTCAGGAGATGTCGACAGGTTATGGATTTAATACTGAATTCTACAATGTATCTTGTTTTATCGTCTTTGTTTGTCTTTGACCTTAGATTTCCATTTCCTAGGCATTTGTTCGAATCAAATTTCCATTACGAAATATCTCTGGCGTTCTCGGAACAAAGTGCCTGCAAACTAGTTACCTTTTTCATTTTCTTGCTTCAAAAAATCCCATAGTCTTGTTATATTGGCAAAGAAATCACTAATTTTTTATGGCTCTAGTTTTATTCTCAAACCTTTTTGCTTTCCCAATCTATAACTAATCCTCATCTGCATTGCAAAGAATTTTTAGGCGTTATCTAATCCTTAATCTCATCATTGTCGTTTCTTTTTTGTGGATATCACTTTGATATTGCGCTGGTGAAGTAACGATGAAAACAATTGGAATACAATCTGGATATGCCATTCTTTTGACTTCAGATACAAGAGAGCGGGGTGCCTGTTTTCTGCCTCGTTATCATCCTGGTGTATGGCGTCGACCTGGTCGATACAGTTGCTGTGATGACATCAATCGTCGTTCTCTTGGTTGCCAGAATACAACTGACTCTGGGACGAACACCGACGCGTCCGAGGCTCGTCGCTTCTCTGCTTTCCCAGGTTGCCTTCCCCCTGTTACCTCAACCGAAGTCCAGACGCCTTCAGCGCCTCCTCTGGGCGGCCAACAGTCGGTTGCCGTCCAAGCTCCTCCCCCTCCTCCTACTCAGGTGCCCCAGCAATCTGTGGCCCAGTCGGTCGCAGGAAAGGTGATAATGGCTACCCCTCCCGCTCCTCCTCCAAATCCCGTCAGCATGTTTACCCAACAGCAGTTACTCTTTCAACAGCAGCAACAGCAACAGCTGTTGCTAGCTCAGCAACACAAGTTGAGCATGCTTGCTGCTCAACCGCATTTGCAACAGCAGCAACAACAGTTGGCTTCTCGCCGATCCGGAAGACTGCCTCAATCTCCTGGTGGCCAATCTTTTGATTGGGTAAGCACTGCCAACGTATCGAGGCTGCTTTTTATCATTCGTCATTTTCCACTTTCAAGAGGGTTAAGCTCACAAATCCTCTTTCCAGGTCCCTGGTTTACGTAATGTATATTTATCCATATTGTGTGACGATCATGAGGTCCCGTATATTGCGTGATCATATGGAGAACTGTGAAGTGGTTATTGCTTTAATATGAGCATACTTGAGGAGACACCTCTAGTGCACTTACCGCCAGCTTACCTAGGAAGGGTCTTGGAGTTCTGAGAGTGCTAATTGCCTCGCTCAACTTGTGTGGCGCTCTCATGCATGCTTTTCTCGCTTCAAGCTAATTGATCTCACTTGATGCCTTGGTGGGTTGTTTTCGATTTTCTCTTCCTCAAGTGTACTAGACAGTGATCAGTATGACGGCTGCGGGGCATCCACTTGCCAGACGATGGGTTAATCTCGTGACATTTGTAAAAATCTCACATCCACTACTCTGCCCATCAGTTATTTGTCTTCCCATATACCCGTTTTATTTGTATTGCTTGTCGTTTAGTTCCAATAACTGCAGGCTTTTTTTTTCGCATCCGTGCTGGGCTGGTTGAAGTGATCCCTGATGGCTGTTTTGTTTTGGCATTCATCACTTGGCATCCAATTTACGTTCGTTTTTTGCAATTCCTTGTTTTACTCTAGAAATTATATCTGCGCTTGTACTTCGCCAGCTGCCTTATCCTTTACCGCGGTATTGTCATACATTTGATTTCTGATGTTCAAAAACTTGGTATTTTCTTTTGACATGATTCGTGGTGAAATTTTGTTTGAAGGTGTCTCTTTGCCTCTAGGTCTACAACGGTTGCTGGCGTAAGGTGTCAGTAAGTGGACTACCCCCAAAAGTTTGCTTAATTTTCTCCTTCCTGCATTTGGCTTGTGGTGAAACATCATTTCAGATACTCGATATTTCAAAACATTCAAGGAGTGCCTACTTTTTTATTTGTTTTGGAGTCAAATTACAGCTCTCATCGAAAATTGGCCCATTGTTCCCGGCGCTTTTCAGTCAAGTCGGGTTTTGGGCAATACTGAAGAGGTGGTAGTATTGAGCAGTTCAACCTCTTTGAATTGCTGCCTCAAGGTTCGATAAATTGGTTGCTGGTCTTGCTCTACTGGCTTTTCCTGCCTTGGGGAATTTGAATATGAATTTTATGTTATGTTATGTTCAGTTATGCATTTTAGTTTGAGGGCTCCCGCACAGAGTAGCCGCGTTAAAAATTGCGCAAGGGTTGTGAGAAAATATCAAATGTGTGCTCTAACATTACTGTCACTTCACCTTCGTTGTGCTTTCATAGAGAACAAAATGTTATAAACAGCTAAAGTCGTCACATTCACCTCCTAAATCTTATTTTCTAATGGAGGCACCTTGGTAGCATGCCAGTGGTGTCATATTTCGTTCTTCAATTCCCTTCGATTTTCAACCTACTCGAATGCTTTCCTACGAATTTCTCCCGTGTGTACTTGTTTGGCTCCAGTGCTCCTGTCACTTATGCATCTGCTTCTGCTGCTTATCAGTCATTGCCATCTTTTATTAAAAGGATGTCCGTGGTTTAAGCCTGCACTCTAAGTTGACTTTCGTGAATTACTACTATAGGTTTTCCGTTATATGGTTTTCTGTTACGTTTGTCCCTTACTGTTGAGTCTTTTCTTTCCATTGCTGATCAGTAACTGCTATACAATACTGCAATTTGCTCAGCTAAATTGTAATCTTTTTGCTGAATCCAAGGTTTAAAACAATTTTACTCAGACTATTTCTTCAGATCTCTTGTAAGCTGTTCTTGTCCTCTGTGCTGCCCTTTGCTACTAAACAATGAACTGAGCTAGATGATTTATCACCGATACTTTAAAAATGGTCTCATGGATCAAATTTGTGTGGACTAACTTGTCACCGTATAGTGTGATAGTCATGACACAACAAAACACATCAACTATCAAAATTGGGTAAATTTATAGCTACTCAACTCTACGTCTATAGGTACGCATTATATTAGGTGTTGCTGAGACATAACACCTAATTTCGCAGGTTGAGGATTTGGTTTCAACATTTTATCTGGTTAACTGCTCTTACATTATCGTGCGATGCGATTGTGTTCAGGTCATTCACACATTTGTAGCCCCATGCAACGGACAGCACTTGCCTCTATCTCGCTTTAATATTGGAGCAATTTTAGTTGTTACGGTATACGGTGAAGCAGCATTAAATTGTTATGATTGCACGTTGGGGATGAATGCTAGCTGCGTTGGTGTGTTGGTCTCTTGCTAGTTCCATTGCGGTTGCCTACTACCGGCAACCACTTCGGTTCTTTGTGTAGTCCTCGGAAGTCCCACTAGGAGCAGGACTGTAAGCCCAAGAAAAGGTGCACCCTGAGGTTTCGTGTGCGTCAAAAACATGCGTTCACTTGCCTCAATCTCTTATCATAAAGACATCTTGAATTGTGCTTCTTCATGACTCCCATTTCTGCTCTATTGATTCATAGAGTGCATTTCAGTAATAATCTCACGTATTCGCTTGTTTTTTTTCTCATTAAAGGATTAGAAAGTGTCATTTGTATGTATGTATACAGTCTCGTCTCCTATATTGAATTACGCTTTAACAGGGTCGCAGTGATCACCACATCCACGCTTTGATTCAGTTTCTCTCCTTTTATCGTTTTTTCACGTCTTCTCATGCCAACGTGCTCATACCATCATAGTAATCGAATTAACCATCATGTGTCGCCTGTGTTTGTGCACTTATTTAATTATATTTTTGTTTATTAAGTGTGACAAGTTTAAATGCCGATGCCAGCCACTCCACGCGCCAGGCGTGATCAGATCCTGCCGACCTGAGGGACTGAGTCGACCTTCATTTGGCGTCACCAAATTGGGTGTTTCCTCACAAACATTTCGTTAGTAGCGATTGGATTCTTACTTGCAAAGTGGGCTCTATTTTTTTGCGAAGAATCCGAATAATTCGATCACCTCATCTGGATGTTCGTTCTGCTGAAAGTATCGTTCAGCTACCGCATTCAATTGAAATTCACGCGATGTTGCTTACTGTTTCTCATTCGCCTGCACGAAGCCAGTCGACAATCTCCTTATCGAATGATTGTTTAAAATCATTCTGTTCTCTCGTGTTGCCTCAAAGTTAACGTTTTGAGAGGAATCGCATTGTATTCACTTCGCCACTGGATTTTCGAGACATACTTGGTTTTTTCAAGGTCATTCAGTTTCCAAATCAGCCTGCTATCAACCAAGGGAATTTAAATACTACCTCATCACTTCCATTTGCTTAAATTTATGATTTTGGGGCTAATTACAATCGCATCGTTTTAAACTTTGGCTGTATACTGCTTTATATGGACTCCGTCAGTTGGGCCTTTCGCTGGACTACTTTATCCTCTCGTTTTTACTATGGTCTCGTCGTTCGACCGTATTTTTGCATCATATATGGCCATACACACTCCTACTATTTGTCTGTTCTGCACTACCTCGGACTATCTCTTCACGTCGTTTGAGAACACCAGTCCTCCTTCACTTCCTATTATTTGAGACGCAGGGATTGGTGTCATGAGAGTTTTTTCTCCCCTGATTTGAAAATGCTGTCATCGTTATGTTGAGCTCCTCGCCTCCGTCTCGCTGTCGTCTAGCAGTGTGAGGCAAGGCGAATGGCCTATCCAGTCGCGTATGTTTGGTTACCGATTGGAGTTGGAACTTGCTATCACTGCCGCTTCTGGAATCTACCGACAGTACTCTTTTGTTTTTCTTCCGTATTGCCCTCCTACTGCAACACATTAGCGCTCCTTTTTGAAAAGAAATTCAGAGTATGAAGCTGAAATAACCTATACTGCGTCATTATTTCCTAATTCGTTGATTCGTCTACACCAGTCCCAATTGGTCATATTCCTCCTTACCACCCTCGCTCATTTTATCGCTCGTTTAAATCCAGATTAGATTTTAATGCTTTTAAGAAAAAAATATATTGGCGTTTGGCAAGATTAAAATCTGCCTGTGGTCCCGACTACTAGTTTTGGAAGTAGTTTTGCAATGGTGTCTAACCTTGATCAACAAGACAAAGTTTTTCATTTTTGCTAATACCTTAAACTTACTTATTCATGCTACTTTTTTATGTTTTCTCACACACGTAAAGTAGAGCCCTATGTCGGCTTTATGAAAGGTTTCGTTCCCAATTCGCTCCCTTTTCATCGTTGCATCGGCTTAATTCGGTATCTGAGTTTTTGTCGGTCTGGGGTAAACGTTTATGTCGTCATGTTTGCTTCATAATGCAACATTTTTCACCTCACTGATTGTTTTCGTCAACGCTTTCTTGGGCTAGGTTGTCAACTCTATAGCTCTTGCTTGAAGCAATCCTGCCTAATCGCAACTGCTGTTTACGCAGCTCATCCCTTACGACTCCCTCCTCCTCTTCCATCTGCTAGAAATAATAATCAAATCGGTCGTTATGGGGTACGAAACCAACACGTGTAGAATTGACATTTGGAGAGTTCGGGTGTCTACTACAAATTGAGTTTGTGTCAGTTTGATTTAAATATTGGCGCCCTCACCCCGCATCTGGCAGGATTTTACATGCTAATGAGTTAGCTTGCCTTCTAAGACATTGATAAATTTGTTTTTCTGTAGAACTCGTCTGTTATGTTGTGTGGAAATGTATCTACTAGCAGGGTGACCGAGTCGGCACATTCATCAGAATGTTACGTCACCGAGATCAACGAGTGTTCACTACTGAAATAACTGTCCTGTTTATCTGTCTCTACCTCCCTCCCCTTTTACCCCTCCGTCCTCGCATTTGAAAATATTCAGGCTGGCTTCCTTCTGGGTCGCAAGGTTGGTGCATGTTTGCACAGCCAACAACTCGTCTCCTTTTTGTTTACGCTAGCCGATGGCCTATGTACGTGTAATCCCACACACACACACACACACACACGTGTACTTATTGGTGTGTGTGGCAGTGGCGACTCCTCCCATGCCTTGACAGCAGGTGGTTGAATTGACTTCGAATAGTATGTGGTAGCAATTAATCTTGTATTCGGTGGCATTTTCTAACCCCCATTCCCCTTAGTAATGATAAAAATTACGTCTCATCCTTACCCAACCCTGGAGTCACTCGCATGGTCATAATTTCACTGTTATGCAGCTTTTTCCTTATCACTGTAATATGACTCATTATTTGTTCATCCCTCTTCTTTAAGGCACTCATAGTTATAATGTGCGTACCACAAATCGTCAACTCTCCGAGTGCTCCTAGCGCTGCATGGGATGCATTCCGATTAGCGTATCGTCACCTTAAAGCACTAGATCACTGAAAATGTTGTCCAGTATTACGCTTGTCAAGGACACGAACTAGCGATCCAACACGTTTTTTTGTTGAACATTAATGCATCATCTTCGTGGACATCTGCACACAAAAATACTCGTGCTATAAGAATTACTGCCATTAAATCGTAGTAATTGCTGGAGGAAAAAAGGACGTCGCCGCCTACATGCGCAAGTACTGCCTTCTTCTGGGCTAATTGCTAAATTGGTATTTCCGGTATGGTCGAATTATCCTGTTACTCCCGGCAACAGCATTAATGCATTCTGCGATTTTCCCGGAAGTGACAAAAAAGCATTCAGGCATACATTCGTGTAGATGCAAAGCGCTGAGCACAATCTACCAGCCATGAAGAAATGCTGGAAAAATGACGACCACATTTTTGCCTCCTTTTGTAGGAGGAGAATGAAAAGACCGTGATCGCTGTGCATAACTACAATCCTGTGCGTGAGAATCAGCTGCCTCTTCAGAAGGGAGAAAAATATTACGTGGTGAATGACAGTAACGCTCAGTGGTGGTACGTTCGCAATATGGCCGGTCAATCCGGCTATGTGCCTACAAACTACATCCACAAACCAAATAGTCTCAACTCTTTCGAGTAAGTCAAGTTCACTTCTTTAACGCTTGTCAATTCCGATCGAATCAAATTCAAGTAAATATGAACATACTATACGTGTGTATTAGTTGCGATTTTGATTGCTTGAAACATTTGAGTAGCCTAGCAAAATTGCTCATATAAGTTCCTTTTTAGGAAGATAGTATGAAAGCGATTCATTCAACTTAAATTACTCAAAAGCTAAATCTCATTGGCTTAAATAGGTATTTTTTTTTAATTCTTGGCGCTGGTTCATCCTGATTGTAATTGGTTTGAAATTTTAACGTTAGTGTCGTTAATAGACGAATGAAGTGCGGTGGGTCTACTTTACTTGGACAAAAGGGATTTGCTCCAACTTTGAACTCCATCTGTAGGTATTATATGAGGTGTCCATTAATTATGCTATCGTGTAGGTATTCTATGCTGTGCTGTTTATTGACTAACTTTTGGAAATTCACAAGGGTTGCTGTAGTAGAAATCATGCTTAAATTAATCGCCTTAGGGATCCTCACGCCAACACGGCTCCAACATGCATTGAATGACCTCGGCATCACGAATGTACATGGGTTTGTCCTTAAGTTATCCAACTTTAAGCTGGAGATGGCGTCTGTGTCAAAAATTCTCTGTCTCCTCATAAGTACAGGTTGTAATTTTCTTCCCTTTTTAACCTGATCCTCTGATTGGTTATCGAGACGGTGATTGTTACTTTTTGGCGTTGTTAAGGCAGAAAGATCCCGCACCTGGCAACAAGAAGAATTCCGGGTTTTACAGGTTCATTACGTCCAATAAATGTGGTTTAGTGTTAGATTAAGCTTGGTTGACCGCACACTATTGCTATTACATGCTTGTTATTCACTCATTTGAGCATATCCATTCAAAAGCTTCATCCCATTTACTTTTTTCACCAATCCACCTCTGTGCAATGCGTGAATGCATACTCGTATTTGTTGGCATTATTTCTGTCTCCGGTGTCCAGAAAACTTAAGCTGTTTGTAAGAATTAGTAGGCTGACCATCTCCCCATGCTAACCATTTGTTTCCCTACACAACTAGAGGTTGAGGTAGAGAGACGTAGGCTCCGAAACATGGTTTTCAGCGGTCATAACAAAACTCTAGCTTCGTCCCCTCGATCACGTGCGATCGGTTGTTGATGAAGGCGATGAAAGTTGGGAGAACAATGAATCGTGGAGAGGAGTATGCTCGCTAGGTATTTTGTCTGACGCAAAAAAAATACTTGAAGCGATTCAGGTTGAATAATGCTATCCTTATTGTAATCCTTAATGCATCTTCGAAACTCAATGCGACACCGCATTACAACTTCTTACTTAAGCGATCTAGGGACGTTTTGGTTTCGTATACTCCCCAACTTTTAATTGTGTACAATTAAGCATTGCCTTGTGGAGAAACAGTATTGTTGAAAGCATTCACTTTGCGCTCAACACGGTTTTACGGCCTCCATTTTCCAATTTTACGTTGTTCTTGTACAATCCCTATAGCTATGAGAAGTAACATAGTTCTCTAAGTATAATTGGAACTTAAGTTCTTTTTTCCACTTCTGGAGGTTGGGCTTTAATGTGGGGTTGTATTTAATGCTTGATGTTCCTCTTCTTGTAACACTGAAAGTGCGGGGTAATTCGATTTGGACTACAAATTGCCTGTAGGTTGCTTTCTTTCCCCTACGGTCTCCATAACCTTCATGTTTTCGTACTGTCAAAAATGATATCTACTTGACTTTACCCAGTGTACGCTTAAATACGTACCTTGGCTGATTCCCTGAGATACAAAAAACAATATCCTACATCATCCTCCGTCTCTGTTCTTATTTTGTATGCACGTTGTTTGTGGTACCATTAACTTTATTTTATTGCCTCTGGGGAAAAGAGGGAAATTTTATGCTACCTCCACACCAGAAGCTGTTATTTTATAAGCATTATTGTAAAAGCAGGTACTATTAGGTTTGTTAGTATCGCTTTCAGAAATGATTAGTATGAAACGCATTGGTCAGAGTAATTACCTGTCACTATGAGTGCATTTCCGTATTGCACTTCTTTTGAATATACTTTACTTCAAAATAATCTTGGCATCCTTCACTACTGGATGATTTTGCGGAATTCTTCCCATCCAACTCTTTGAAATGTGAGGCCATTTCAAGTATTTCACCGGTTGTAGGTTAGTTGGGCTAGCAAATCCGAGGAAATTTTCGGATCAGATTGTAGCTTAAACCGAAGCCGGAGGTCAGGCTGCTTGGGGGCATGTTGGTGACTTTCTGACGCCCCAAATATGAATTATTTTTGGCTTTACGTCAATTAGTGCATCCACTGAGCGTAATTCCTTACCTCTGCTTGTCATTTTTTTCCAATTTTGATCCACTAATCATTGGTAGACGCACGATCTCCCGTGTTTTAGCTTTAAATCTATTTTGCTGATACTCTGATGACTGTCATTCACAGAATCGAAATCTTGTGCTTACATTCCCCTTGCTCACGCTCTTGTGGGATTTCTTCGTCTTCAATGAACCAGTTGACTCTCACTTAAACTTTTAAATGTCATCTATTTAAGAATTGTGTAGATGGTCTGCATATTGTCGTATTGTGATATGAACATCCATGGAGAATTTCGATTGTGGCACGCGAAACGGTCACTTTCGTTAATTTAGGAGTGTCTGGAATTTTACTTGTTGTCGGAAATGAGAAATCCCTTGTGAGTCAGCGTTCGAATTGTTTATATTCTGATTCGCGTAATTAGTTTTGCAGTCAATGCAACTACCTGACAGTGTTAAAGTTTTGTTTTGACTGTTTCTCTTCCTTGACTCCCGTTTCGAGGCCTTTTAGCACAAAAACCTTTGAATTTTACTTGATCCTATGGGAATAGCACGAATTTGATCTTCTTTCATTGTCGTATAATTTGAGTGTTGTGTATGCCTACTCGACGCCCTCCTATGGTATATGGTGTTTGAAAGACCTCGTGCGTGGTCTTTTTTTGTGGCCAAATTTGTTATTTACTTTTGAGACCTGTTGCATTTTGAGGAATACTGATCCACAAGATAGACAAGCTTCTGGAGCAGCAAGGAATGGAGGGATCTGATAAGCCTTGGCCTTCAAACATCAAAAGGGTGTTGTGTTGACTTGTCTGGTCGTTGGGTTTGCTTGTAGGGGGTGCACTTCTCCAACTATTTTAGTTCAGAATCTAATTGAACGTCGACTATTGTGCATTGGTACTACTTTTGTATTCTTTAGCTGGTATTACAAAGACATCACTCGCCAACAAGCCGAAGCCATTCTTTTGGAGGAGAATCGAGAGGGCTGCTTCCTGGTTCGAGATTCGGTGAGCAAAAAGAACACCTATACACTGTCGGTGACTTCGAAGGATCCGGATGTGTAAGTACCTTACTGCTATTGTTCTTAGAACTTTTCTAAATGCAACGAAGTGCAAAATCACAAAACAGAGCTTTAATGACGCTCTTTGGTTTTTTACTGATCCCATGTTTTTGAGCGAATTTTGATGCCTCGCCTAGTAAAGGCTTTTGTTTTTTGTCAATTTTCCATGGTTATTTTCTTTCAAATGACGCAGTGATCACTTGTTTTTAAACTGATGGCGAATTTTAATAATTTTTATCGTTTCCTATCGCAATTACTGGTTCTCTTTCATGAGCTGTTGCATCTATCGTATCCTACAATGCAGATAAATTTTTCCTCCTACGTCCGGCTAACAGTTTACGTCTAGCTTACTCTTTTTATTCTCCTTTCTGGATCTGTTCCCTCTAGTATTTGAACTTCCACATCACTGGACTGCTTTCATCAGTTAACTTGGCTTTTCCTTTGTCGCCATTGGCGAACGTGATTGGACGCACCATCCAGTGATTCATGTTTCGCCGATATGCTCTTGTCTGCGTTTGAGTCAGCCACCAGCCAAGCAGTACCGATTGAGGGTTATTGTCCCAAAATAACGCATTTACACCCTCTGTTGGTACTTCCTCATTTCTAGGCTTGGTGTCTTAGCATTCGTTTTTTTTCTGCGTCATAGCACTAATTCATGAGCGCCTCACTCCGCTGTGTGATAGTCGCGTTTCCGTCCGAATTCGCTGAAGTCTGCCCATAACAAACGTTCCTCGAGGCTTCATTGTTCTCAAAATTAACTACTTTATGCGTCTGTTCCCGACTTGCGTTTTATGGGATTTATTTGGCAGAATTCGTTCCTCAAGGGTGGTTTCTGCCCTCAACGTTGTCTTGACTCTTCAAGGCGTTTCAATCGGTTATTCATTTAAGTTGTTTAAGCGTTTCTGTCGATGTCTCCAAAATATACTTTCCGGATTTCTTGCCAGCTAGTGAAAAGTTAAAGTGCCAGAGGTCGAACTACCCTATCTGTACCTTAATATCGCCTCACTTTTGAAACGATCAAGCAAGTGCCCGCCTCACATGCCCAAGAGGCAGTTCTTGGGTTCTGTCCCAGCTGCTAATTTAGGTAACCACACGCGCTCCCGTATTCGATGACTAACACCAGCGGCTGCGTGTGCGCTCGCGTTGAGTGCGTGTGTGTGCGAATGCGCACGTGCGTGCCACCTTAACCTAATTCGGCCTTCTATTGGCTCCTCTGTCACCAACCCTCCCTCTCCCCTCCCTTGTATGACTCACTTTTGGCTTTGTGGTCTGCGCTGTCATTATCACACATTACTCTGTATGAATAAGAAAGTGTTTTCATGCCTTTGGGGAGATTATGTAAATCTGTTAATGTGGCGGCTAATGCTGAGTGGTGTTTAGAAGGCTTGGCGAGAAGTGGAATTAACAATATTCCGGAGATGATACGACATGTCTGTTTCATCTCATTTGAACGCCAATCAGATTAGTGCTATATCCTGTCTCGTAATGCTAATGAGAGTAACAACCTCTTAAAAGTACTACCATCCCTATTTCGCATGATAAACACAAATGCAGGTAAAGGTTTTGGTGCAAGTTTTCAGATTTACAAAGAGTTGAGCCCCTAAGATCTATCCTCTCTCACTTGACTGGTAGCTTTACGTCCCTTTTCAAGAACACGGTTGCAAATCCCAATCTTACGGCTCTATGGTCATTTGCAAATCACCGATTTTTTGCCATTGGCCGACAGTTGCTGCTAGCATTGACGTTAGCTTGACAGGGTGACGAGGCTTTTATTCGTGTATTTACAAATCCTATGTCCACGAGTTTCCCACGGTTGCACTGACTTACTCATTTTATTTCATCCTATTGCGGTGCTACATTCATACAGATTGCTGATGATACTATGTACGGGGCAATGACTTTTTTACTCTTAGTATTAATACATTTTGTTCACTAGCTCTATGGTTTGGTTTCAGTGCTGGTAAGCTGCGGGTGCACCACTATCACATCCACCGGACGGAAGCAGGCACCAATCTTTCCAACGGCCACACTAACGGTGGGGCTCCTGGTGCCCCAGCCAACGGCAGCGCCGGTAACAGTGCCATTACCAATGGCGGCAATGGTGGACAGGTCAACGGTGGAGTGAGTGCTGGTGTTAGTGCAGGTAGTGGCGGTGAGGCGCAGTTCTACCTCTCGGAGAAGCACGCCTTCCCGACCATTAGCGAGGTGATTCACTACCACAAACACAACTCCGGGGGCCTGGTGGTGCGTCTACGCTCCCCTCCTGTGAAGGACCGCGAGAGTCCTGTTACGGCTGGTATGGGTCTCGACGAGTTCGAGCTCGACCCTGCCGAACTGCAAATCGACCCAGAGCCCATCGGCAAAGGCCAGTTTGGGGTGCGTATTGTTGTTTTCGCCTTACGTGCCTCTGTATCCACTGTCTTGTGACTCATTACTCGACTTAGGGGGTTCTGTCTTTTTAAAGTATTTTCTGTATTATTTCGGTGTCTTGCGAAGAGAGCCTCTCAAGTCCCGACGGTGAATAGGCACTTTGCATTTCTCTTTTCGTATATGCGTCATCGTCGTATATATCACCCAGTGTATACCCCTTTTTTCTCTTCAAAGGTTGTCAAGAGAGGCAAATTTCGTAACATTCCAGTTGCAGTTAAGCAAATGGTCGAAAACGCTATGAATGAGGAGGACTTTATTGAAGAGGCGAAGAATATGCGGTTAGTTAGCTTCGGGAACGTTTTTTACAAGTTATTATTTTTACCACTATTACACCTCTATGGCCTTTCTAAGGACAGCTACTATAGACTAGAGGCAAATAAATGTGGGGATTTTCATGAACTAGTCGAGAGAATTTCTCCTGTGGGTTAGCTGATTGGTGACAAAACTCTACTTTATTTATTTAGATACACCGAAAAGTCATTTTTTTTCAGAGTATGGACCGGGCGTAAATATGATGGTATTGACAAGCATAGGTGAATAGTCAGTGAATAATTTGAGGATCATTTCATGGCCTACATCCTGTAGTTGAGTTGTTTTTTTCTCTTCTCAGCTTTCTTAATCACCCCAATCTTGTGCAATTGTTCGGTGTTGTGCTGAAGAAACGGCCCATCATGATTATCACAGAATATATGAAATACGGTAAGCTGCCTCGGTGTGATTTGACTGTTTGGGCGTCTCCGTACCTCCTTGGTTTCGCATTAGAGCGCGCTCACTCCGACAACATTACATTGCTTTCATCTGCTCCTCTGTGGTCTTGTGTGGGTCCGACTGCCCTAATTTCATTGTTGTGTTTCCTGTGCTGCCCTGAGCCGATCGTCAAGTAGTAACAAGTCAAAGCTATATGGATGATCATACACTGCAGTCGTACATAACATTTAGGAGGCTGTCAGCATGCCTCGAAGTCAGTGGAAGTAGAGCCTGCGCAGACTGAATTGCCCGTATGGTCGAACGAAATTTAAAACTGCTGCTTACTTCTATGGGATGGGCGTTTTCTTTGACAGCTAATTGAACTCATGACCTTTTTCATTATTTATGCTTTGCCCATCATTCTCATCAAATCTGCTTATTTAATCATTTTGGATCGTGTTCGTTTTGCGTAGGTGTTAATGTTGCCCTGGTAGTCATAATTAAGGTCAACAAGTCCAGCAATGTACTGTGCAGCACTTTTTGCCCGTGGGCGAACCGTTTAGTCCATTGTTAAAGAGAACTACACATGGGTCCATATCCCAATGCACAATAAATAAAACCGGCTTCAGTAGGATTCTGTTATTAATACTCTGCTCTACCGCTCTTTATAATATTTCTGTCTCCATAGAGAGGAAGTCGTTTTCAAAATTTTATCAATATTCATTCGGCTCATTCCCAGCCTTAGTGATGGCGTTATACGCAATTGTTTGCGGTGTCCCAAAAATTTACGGTTTCATCCGGCTCTCAGAGCGCGACTTAGTCTGGGTGACTTACATGTACCAGGACTAGGCACGGAGAAGGTCGAGAAAAAAGGAAATCGCATCAGTCGCGTTAATTCACAGGCGAATGATTCATGCCTGTAATTTCTTATTTGCTCCTCTCCCCACCCACCCTGTGTCTACCTGTGTGCCTCTTCATAGCGCGCCCAAGCCTCATTTCAATACTTGCATGGGACGCAGACCTGCAAGAAATGACATTTATTTAAAATGTCCATTCAATCACAGGAAGCCAACTTCTAGGTGCGTGTGTGTCCTTGTGTTGGCGCCCCTTGTAGAAGAGTGAACCTTGTTGTCCACTCTATTCTCTCTGCATTACACCATTTGTGAAACATGGTCGGCAGTTAACAACGTTTCTGCCTTTCGTGGGAATGGACCATCGTTTTATTTTCCTACGAGCTTCGACCGTTACTGTCATACCAATCGGTGCAGTACGACACCTTCTGTTGGAATTACTACATGCTTGAGGTGAAGGGACGGTGGAAATCCAGCAGTTGGCGCAGTTACACTTTATGTTCGCAAGGTTGGATAGGAAGCTGCATCCTTTTTATTACACAAACAAAACACATTGCGTCTGAGGCGGACTAGTGATTATTTTGGGGTTATTATTCTTGATCGGACTCTAGTCGTTTACATCTTTGGGTGATTGGCCAATGCCTTCACAAGCCAAAATTGTTGCTCGTTTTCTGTTGCTTTCATTTTATAAGTAGTGGTGGTTTAGTCGTTGAATTGAAGTGAATGTCTGCCACCTTATGTGTAACTGCAAGCTCACGAGTTCCCATTTGCCGTCCTTATACATGAGTGTACGAAAAAATTATTATTTATTCTAGTTGGTATTCTTCAAATATGTTAAGTTTTAAACTGGTATGCCTTGTTTATAAGTGTGTAGTTTTACGATTCCTCCTTGCTGAAGCGGCATTCTGGAGCGCTTTTCACTCCTCTGAATGTTTTATCTAGTGCTATTTGTTTTATTGGCTGTTAGGGTCACTACGGGATTTCCTTCGCCAGCGCCAGTCCCAGTTTTGCAATCGTCCAGTGGTGCTAGCGGATATTTGCGCCCAAGTAGGCAATGGGATGGCCTATCTCGAGCGTGAACAGTTCGTGCATCGGGACCTGGCCGCGCGAAATTGCCTGGTTAAGTCAGTTTCGCGCAATTCAGTAGTGGTCAAGGTGGCTGACTTCGGCATGGCCCGCTTCCTCCTGGACAACGTTTATGAGCCCAGTGCTGGAACCAAGTTTCCTGTCCGTTGGGCTGCTCCAGAGGTCTTTCAGTCTGTCTACACTGACAAAGCTGATGTTTGGAGCTTTGGCAAGTGTTGAGCCTTTCCTAATTTTGAATTGAGCTTTTTTGTCTCAGCATCGCCTTCCATGAATCGTATCCCTGAGTTAATTATGCAATTTGAACTTTAATTAAAAATTAATTGAATAGCGATAGGACAGTGTCCAATCCAGCGCTTGTGGTACAGTGAATGATTTACAGTTAACCAAACCGGAGACCTTGAAAGTGTTTTGCACATTACTTGCAAGTATTCACAAGGTGCATAGATTTGGGATCGTGTACGTATAAACATGGTCAACGTCCCTCTTTGACCATCTTGAAAGGTTAATTTCCAGCTCGATGCTAAATCTCTTGTGGGGCTGCTTCCCGTCCACGGCCTTAACTATCTCAACCAATGTTTAATTCGGCGCTGAACTACTGCGGTTGTACGCGATGCAAATCTGTGTTGATGCGTCTTCTGTCGCGCATCTGGACTGTTCGTGATCTTAACACGTGATGGTCTGGTCACTAATTTCCCATCTCGTGATCCATATTTCGTAGTTACGGAGTTCTACTTGAATCTGAGCATTTGCCAACTTGCATAATAGTGTGAGCGACAGATGTTGACAGCAGTTATTCAACCTTCAATATTGCTATGGGGAATGGTAGTAGTATCACCGCTTTACTGTTTAACGTAAACACTTAAACATTGTTATCGAATCGCTTATGCCGTTTCGCAGATACCCTTGTTAAAAATACTTTTTTTGTGAATTCAGGCGTTCTTATGTGGGAGGTGTTTACTTACTGCTTGGAGAATCCATACCATGGGATGAACAATTCGCAGGTATACCAGTTCATAGTCGATGGGGGACGTCTGCATAAACCGGCCGTCTGTCCCGACCGAATCTACGTTCTCATGCTCGAGTGCTGGCAACACGTGAGCTCCTATCACCTTTTCATATAGCTGTCTTTTATGCCATTAGCAAATTAAAGGGAGTAGTCGACGGCTGTGCGAATAAGGCAAAAACGTTACAGATAAGCCATTGCTGTCTAATCCTTAAACTACTTGTGATTATTTGTCCCCATGTACAAGTTAACTACAACAATGAATTTAATGGGAAAATCGTTTATCGTTGCACTATTCCTTTGCAGGATCGGAATAGACGCCCAGCGTTCGAGTATATCTGTCAAAAAATCGGTGATTACTTGGATCAGAACTGTGAAAACTGACGCTTCGCTTCGCCACATATCCACCTCGTCATAATCTACGATTGGCGGTGTCAAAGATCGCCTCTTCCCCTCCACTACTCTGGTCTCCTAAAACATCAATCCTCTTCCTCGCGAAAATCGCTCCTCCGCCTATCCGCTCGTTGTGGCCGTCTTCTTGCGCATTTTTAGTTTTAATCACCCTTTCCCTTCTCTCCGTCCTCTTCGTCTACTTCTGCTTCCTTTCATTTTTCCTCCATGGAGTTGACTATTTTTCTAAGTCAAATGTGCACAAGGGAAAGGAAGGTCACTCCTCTGTCACCACGCATTCTTCCGCGTGAAGGAGGTCGTGAGGCTGTACATATGCATTATATCTATGACATTATCCATTAGTTCCTCAAGAAAGGTTTCCTCATGGGAAAATGTTTAAACAGCGATTCTCTCCCATGTAAGCGTAAAGCATGAAGTGACGCTACTGGTAGTTGGTTCGCGTGCACCACAAATACATGAGCAAGCGAACAAGGCGTAGGTGGCCCCGAGTTCAAGATCGTCACAGTGACAGTAATTAACCCCTTTTAGCGATGCAAAAGGTCTGGCTACTAACATTCGTTAGTAGCAGGACTGGTAGAGGTAACAAATGACAGAATAAGGCCAAATCAGGTGAGACAAATTTATCTCGACGGGAGAACTAGCGAATAGGCATGAGTATGTAGGGTCACAACAACAGATGAGCATCAGGCGAGTGACAAGCCTCACAGAGACTCTTTAATCACGCGCCGTCATAGGTAGAATCTGTTGGTGCAGGACCCGCTTCCATAAAAGATTTTCATAGTAGGCGTTCACGGAAAAAATCCTCAATGGTGTCGGTATCCCAAGTTTCAATGGCATAACTTTCTTGGGCCTCACCATCCTCTTCATTCAAGAGAATGGCTGTAGGAGGATGGCCGGATTTGGTGATGAATTGGATGTTTGGGGACTCTGTGATTTTATCCACGAACGCTTAATAAAAACAATAGCAGTAAGTCAAGTAACTCACTTAGATGAAAATTCTACAAAAAATTCTAAGAGGAACTTCTCAACAGAACTTGGAAGTGAAGCTCAAAAACCTACCTTCGACTTGAGGGTATCGCCTCAGGGATCATCCGCACGCTACTATGGCGCCGTAGTGATATTTCTCAAGAAAGGATAATTAACTACTGCAATGTACTTTAGAGGGTGATGCTATGTGTCCAACATCGCAGCATGCGAGACAAGACTCTCTAAGAGCATTCAATCCAAAGAGGTTTAGTTCTTTGCAAAATTTGCAAGACAATTCTTCGGTGTAGCCCGATCTTTTACAAAACTCACTAGATAGGACATTATTGATCTGACCTGCTGGGCTAAATTGGTTACTTACATAAAGAACAGCATATGCGACAAAAACACATACATGACTGCTGGCCGACCGCATGCTTCCAAGCGCAGCGGTCTGTGGCTGACGCACCCAACATAGCCCATTAAAACAATTAAAATTGCAAATTTTTTTACAACAAGTCACAGCACCAAAAAGCGGTTTTTAAACAAGAATTTCCTTTTAAAATGCCACTATTAAATGATGTTTTGGTGTGTTTAGGGTTAGAAGATCAAATGCTGCATTTTTCGACGATTTATTGCCTTTAATCACTCTGTGGAAAGTCACTGGACACCACATTGGTGACAGTTAAAAGCGAACCTGACTTTAGTTTAACAACTATCCCAGCATGTGCCGTTTGTTGCACGTACCAGTGGTATGGAGGAGGCTCATTAATGACATTGGCGAGAAAATCCGTGAATGATGTCCTCGCTCGTCTCTACTTTATCGCTGTTACGCAAACGCACTATCAACAGCTGAAGTGACACTGCCGTGGACCATCCGGAAACATTACGTGTCGGAACTTATCCTACTATACCCGTGACACTGCAGTTCTTTTCATGTATCGAATAGTGTCTGATCCTGTTTCCCCCATCACACATCTGTTTTAGATCAGAGTTTTACAGTATACCCCTGGAGACAATTGATGGTCATTAGATGTATGCAGCCTAAAGTCTGGCTGTCAGACCAACTATCGTTTCTCAGTCTCGTAGTAGCTGTTAACTGGTGCTTCTGGCCCTTGGCTGCTTTCTTACGATACTGAATATGTTATGATGGCTAGCATGAGAGGAGCAGTGTAATACCGTGTTTCGTCTGGCCCTTGCATGTGTGGGCCGACCTTTGTTCCAAGCTCAAGTTTGTTCTTTTTGTTCTCCATAGAATACATGCATTCAGCTCCACTTACCGCCTTCTTCCACTGTGTGGGAAGTTTCGGGTGTAGCGTCCCGAGACTTCCAATGGGGTAGTAGAAGGCATAAGTGAGGTTGGTACATGTATTCCGAAAAAAATTGGAGAAATGGGGCCTGAGCGTGGCCCGAAGGCCAGCCCACGTATACAGGGCCCAAGCAAGTTCTTCTTTTGAGCAACGTCCTCGACGCTCCCCTTTGGTACACCTCCTGCTCCAGCCATCACAACATATTCGGTGCTACAAGAAATCATCCTCGAGCCAACCGCGCCAGTTGACAGACAACGCGAGAGCAAGGAACCGTACCTGATCTCCTCGGCAGCTTCAACTGGATCTGGAGTTCCGTTCGGTCTGACAACCAGATTCGGGGACCCCTACATCTGCCGACCATCAATTGCTTGCAGGAATACACGGTGGAACTCTGGTCTACAACGGATATGTTACAGGGATAAGGGGATGGGCCACTGTCCCGTATGCGAGGAGATCCGTTGTGTCATTTCCGACACATAAACACGGGTTCTGTATAGAAAACTTCCATACGAAACTTTTCCAGATATTTCACGGCGGTGTCGCTTCAGTTGTTAATAGCCTCTTTGTAGAACACGGGAATAAGGTGAAACCAAATGCAGACGTCAGTCTCAACCCTGTCATTGTGAAGGGTCCAGGGATCCTCCGTCATCAAGGTAAGTGCGCCCCCTTCAATTCACGTCCCTTTTTCGCCTGTATCTTCATCTACTGCACTTCGATAGATAGAGTTAGACTTCCTTCTACGCATGTATACCTCATGATTACCAGAATGCGCTTATTAATCTTGGATTTCTCCCCTAAGAAGCAGAATTCGTTTGCAGTCTCGTATGCTTGTTGGATTATAACCTTCATGTCGTGGAAGGAGAGATTTCGACTTTCCGACCGAGGGCACCCGATTTTGAGGTATCTACTTGTATTGAACCAGTGCATCATCCGATCAAACCTCTGCTCGTCGGTTTGTTCGTACTGTTCTTTTCAGGAAATCAGTCGACTAATTGGCAAAGCTTAGCAACGCAAACGTAGGAGGTCAGTAAGACAGCGGTGTCTGTTGGGAAAGTGATTTTTCTGCACACTATGTCGCTTTCAAAAGCACCTCACACCTAAAAGTCGTTAAGAAAATGTCGGGTTCGCTTTCCGCTGCCACCAGTGTAGCGTCCTGAGGCTTCCCATAGGGTAGCAGAAGGCATAAATGAGGTTGATACATGTATTCCGAAAACAATAGGAGAAATGGGGCCTGAGCGTGGCCCGAAGGCCAGCCCACGTGTACAGGGTCCAGACAAGTTCTAAAGTGACCGCCAAACGTTAGGTGGTCACATAAACAAAGCATTACATCGGGACGCTGCAGATTCTGGCTTGAATGAATTTCTCGCAAAGGTGACATTACCCCATGTCCGGTATGAGCAAGACATTTTACTTAATCTCTGGGTACTATAATGTATACGTCTTCAGTTACACCAACTCAAGAATCCTACAACTGACTACCTCCTGAGAACTTTGCTAGGAGAGAAAATAGTGAGTGACGCCTTGTTTGTTCGACTGCTTGCATGGTTGGCGGTCGTACTGTTGACTACGTGATCTGGCCTTTATGCAAAGGCAAAGCTCATCCTCCCCCTCTTTTCTCCGAATTCAAGCATTTAGTTCATACACATGCCTTTTACTTTTTAATGGGAAGTCTTGGAACGCCACAATCACATTCAGCCATGCCTCTTGGTAAATCTTTGCAAACATCAATATGATATATCTTAGTGTGAAAGACCAGTGCTACCTTAATGCATATAATTTGGCAAAATAAATGAACAAGGCGTGCCTTTTGATGATCGGCGCAGCTGGATCGTAGAGCTTTCCCATGGTACCGACTACACTTTGAAGCTAAAGCTGGGAGTCCTAATGGAGGGACACCTGAGAACTGCCCAACAGACGATGGCATACCTACCAGTTTTTTGATCGCATGCGTGAGTAGCGTTTGCTTTGACGGAAATGCTGCTTCTGCTATGGTGAGTTTCCTCTGGGTCATTGCAATTTTCTATGTGAGTGGGAGGAGATACTTTATCTCAGCATCACTAACCCCTCTTAACGGCTTCAGCTGGATATGGGATTTCGTACGTCTTGTAAATAGGATTTAGCAATCGGAAATATTGTCGACCATTGTGTACATCTAGGACTAGTCTTTTAAATAATGGACTTGTAATAGGGAATACAGGATTCAATACAGTTCCGTATGTAGGCGGTTTTACGAAATTTACCAAAACCAAAATCTGCATGCAGGTGCGGTAAGAGAAATCCAAGAACGAGGATTTTCCAAATAATTTGCAACAGTATCGCTTTCATTTGTCTTACCTTTGGAATGTGGGAGCGGGATGGGTGAAGAAAATAGACACTACTGTCAATCCATATTTTGTGGAGAAAAGAGAGTTTCTCCAACAAAATCATATGAACTGCACTTACACCACCGCAAAACTGATTGGATTTCCTCTCCGTTGCCGGCAAAGTTTTGTCTCTATGTTGCCTATTAAATACTTGAAAATACAATGCTTAAATTAATCCACTGATATTTAGACTGAAAGGAAAGTGGTGCGACTTTGGCAGTCCCTCAAGACCAGCGATCAAATCCCTACCACCCATGCAAGCAATCGAACAAAGCATTATTGGCGGTCACAGGTATTGGGAGTTCAAGGGTTTGCCGGTTTCGGTGGAAGACATTGCTTTTATTTATGTCTTTCTTTTACAATTGTCACTGTACACGTATAAGCCTTACGATTTAGTTTCTGGTCATCAATTTGGTCAGGCCGTTTACATATAGCTCTCCATAATCCACACTCAATCATGAGAATGGAAGCGCATATTCACAACACTTGTTGCAAATGACATAAAAAAAGCTAGCATTAAAGGCCATAAAAGTTATTCGTGGACATGATTGTAGACCTTAAAGAGCCTTCGCAAACATCATCGACGTCTTCCTATGGGAGCAAAAGGGCTGCCATAGCTTCAGTACTTTGGAAGGGAGAGCAGGCGTCTGTCGCTGAATTTAAGTTGTGCCAAAAGTCACATCTCAAGCCATTTTTGCATTCAGGTTACCCAGTTTATGCTGATCTTGGACAAGAGCCCTCCTGCAAACATCAACCTTCATTCTGCTGGAAGTACATAGGACAAGGAAGGAGAACCCTTGTCTGCTTTTGGCATGTAATATGGAGAACCTCGACATAAAGACGTTGAATTTTGTAATCCTGAACAATTTTTTTGGGATCCAAGACCATAAGCAGATTGTTTGTTTCCTCTGTGGGCTCTACTAGTTCGCTTGAGGAGGTGGTGCACTTATCGCGGGGTTCCTCAAACCTAGTAGCTAGGTAAACGCCGTGTCAAAAGTAAAACATTGCTAATCCTGAGATCCTGTTTTGCGAGAAGTTGAAAATTTTTAGCTCACAAATTACGGCCCTTGTTCACTTTTGGAACAACGGAAGAACTACGTTAGTGTCTCTTCTGGCCTAGAGCTACTTCGGTGTCTACAAGCAGGACTCCTTGGGATTGGAATCAAATACCACTTTATAATACCCATATCGTTATTGAGAGGGAAGAGGTTCACCAACGTTGACACAGATGTAATGGACTTGGGTTTGCTTCCCCATCTACTTTCATTCCTTTGAAACGGATAGACTAACTAAATAGGAACATCCTTCAGCGGTATCAAATACTTTGTCAGAAGATCAGTATCATTGGAACGCTTCTCCCACGAAAACGATACCAGAATAAACAAGCCTTCAGAGTTATTGACTTAGCTTGCATGAAGATTAACTTCGATAGTGTTTGAACTATGCTGATTGTATTGGCGAACTGCGAACCATGACCTCGCCGTTAGCATACAATCTGCGGGCTTTTAGTGAACTCGTGTACAGAATAGTTCGCTAGTTTCTGTCCGCTTAATGGACGAGTACATGAGGCAGAGAATATGCATCCGGACAGAAAATGCTCTGACTAATAAAGTTGACATCTGCAATTGAACGAGTGGTTTGGTAGGAACCATTTCATCAAAAGCAAGTAGCACGGAGATTGAGATGATCAACAGATGGGAGCAACTTGAAGAGTACGCACTCAGGTAGTCAGATATACAAATGGAAAGGGCGTCCTACCTGCATCTCAGTCCTGGGTGTTCTAGTTGGAATTTCATGTTGTCACCTCTGCTCAAGTCATCAAGTAAGCTCAAATGAATCACGATGGAGGAGCAAGAATGGTACGGTAATCCATAGACTAACATCTCCCACCTTCGTAGATAAAAATTGGAAACGTCCTATTTGACGGTTATCTACCCTTTTTAAAGCGCACTTTTTATAGATGGTGCTAATGCATTTCGATCTCGTTTAGCTAGCACCGAGTTCACAGACCACGAACTTACTGTCATCACCATCACCTTAAACGGTCACCCGAAAACAACACCGGAACAAAGCAAGGTCGCGGTGCTTACAGCGACCAGGTAAGCACTGCGACCGGCAAGTACACCAACGACTATAATAACGCAATATGCGCCAAATCTACTACCCGTCCCCGTGAGTCAAACTAGAGGAGTCGACAGAAAAACTTATTCAATGCATTTACTGCAAAGAATTTGCTCGCAAATGAAAAACACGGAGCGTTTCACACAATACTGCAACTAAGCAAAATGAAGTTCCTCTAAGTATTAACTGCACCGAGATCAATTACAAAAACTACAATTTAAACTCCTCAAAGAAGTCATTGCCCTTGTCGTCAACAACAATGAAAGCTGGGAAGTTTTCTACTTCAACACGAAAAATTGCTTCCATACCGAGTTCTGGATACTCAAGGGTTTCGACCTTCTTAATGCAGTTTTGAGCCAGAATAGCAGCGGGACCACCTATCGAGCCAAGATAGAAACCACCATGCTTCTTGCAAGCGTTGGTAACCTAAAAACCACAAGTTGGGCTACTTTTGAACCGGGAGCACAACAACCTAGGCATACCGAACAAAGATGATGATTTAAACGTGACAATAGTGCAGAAGAAAAGACATGGCAACCTCCTTGACATGGACATAAAGCTTAAGATCAAAGTTCGAACTCACGTCCTTAGAACGATTGCCCTTGGCAAGCATTATCATACTACCTCCGTGGCTTTGAAAGAGATCGACATAACTATCCATTCGACCCGCCGTAGTTGGACCAAAGGAGCCGCTGGCGTAACCCCCAGGTGTCTTGGCTGGACCGGCGTAATAGACTGGATGATTACGGAGGTAGTCAGGCATTGGTTGACCCGCATCTAGCCGCTCCTACAGATGGATAGACCCTTCGCGATTGCTACAAGCATTTCTAAGTAGTAAATAGAACAAACCAAACCTTAATCTTGGCGTGAGCAATATCACGAGCAACAACAAGAGTACCAGTGAGATTAAGACGGGTCTTGACAGGGTGCTTTGTGAGAGCAGCGAGAACCTCTGACATTGGTTTGTTCAGGTCGATGTTAACAGCATCTCTTGACAGCTGGGTGGCAGACGGATCAGGAAGGTATTTAGCAGGGTCAATCTCTAGCTGCTCCAAGAAGATACCTTCTTCTGTAATCTTACCATAACACTGAAAAGGAAAGAGTGGTTAAAGCAGGGAGTGCGGTCGTATGCTAGACAAAAGAATTTGACTAAACAACCTGTCGATCAGCAGAACACGAGACGCCAATCCCAACAGGACAGGAGGCACCGTGTCGTGGCAAACGGATGACTCGAACGTCATGGCAGAAGTACTTTCCGCCAAATTGAGCCCCAATTCCCAGCTTCTGAGAGATCTCTGTAATGCGTTGCTCCGCCTCCAGGTCGCGAAATCCTCGACCGTATTCGTTTCCTAATATTATTAATAGAAGCGAACCCAACACCATACTAACCGCATGTTGGAAGATGATCAAGATAGCGTGCAGATGCCAATTTCACTGTTTTCAAGTTGAATTCGGCAGAAGTGCCTCCAATTACAACGGCTAAATGATAAGGTGGGCACGCGGCAGTCCCGAGAGTCTACATTTCTCAGCTACCATAGAAAATCACCACAAACCTTCATCTTTTCTGTGACAAATTCATAAAGGCTCTTTTCGTTCAACACGGCCTTTGTTTGTTGGAATAGAAAGGACTTGTTGGCTGATCCACCACCCTTGGCCATGAATAAGAAACTGTACTCACTTCCCGGGGTGGAATATATTTCAATTTGGGCAGGTAAATTAGTGCCTGTGTTCTTCTCGGTAAACATATCCAAGGGGGCAACCTACAAGAGAATAGAGGCACCAGTAGGCTGAATTTTGGCAGCTATAAAAGTAAAGAACACTTAATAACCCGCAGTTGACAGATGGCATCAACTGCTTTCTCAGTAGTCATGTTAGCAACCGTCAAATGTGGCATTGTAACAAGAGATCCCATAGGCTTCACTAGACGCTAACCTGAGAGTATCGAAGGTTATGAAGCGTATAAGTGTTGAAAACGCCCCTTGACAGAGCGGCACCATCATCTTCATTAGTCCAAACATATTGACCCTTCTTGCCCATGATGATTGCAGTACCAGTATCTTGACAACTAGGTAAAATCATGCTAGCCGCGATATTGGCATTCTTAAGAAGTTCCAATGCAACAAATCGGTCGTTATTGGAGGCTTCCGGATCTTTTAGTATGTTGGATAAGGATTGCAAGTGCGAAGGCCGCAAAAGATGAGCAATGTCGATCATTGCCTGCTCAGCTATAACCGTGAGACCTTTCCCATCAACCTCAAGGACTTTTTTGCCGTTAACGTTGGTAGACTTTACATAATCACCTATTAAAATAAAGGAAACGCAAAGATTTCCAAACATATAACAAATCAATATATACTCGAAGCTCAAATTCAGAACCCTACCACACATAGACAGCCAAATATAGCACGAGAAAGGAAAGAGATCATAGTACTTACTTGTTAGCTTCTTGAATTGAGTACCAGCGTACGGAGGCTTCTCAAGTTCAAGTAAGTCCTGGTAGTAGAAGGCCTTCGCTTGTGTGGAATAAGCCTTATCTAGTGCTGAAGCGAGAGGCAATCGAGGACGGAATCCACTACGAGAGATCGGACGAGAAGCGCACACTAATCGAAGCATCACGGACGAAAAACGCCACTAGCAAAATTAAACAATGGCGCCGGCAAACCACAAAAGAAGTGAAGAGCTTGGACAAAACAAAACGCCACCTCATTCAAAAAAATTAGTGGTATAAAGCTGTACAAAGAATGCATTTTCATAAGTTTTTTAAAATAAAGTGACTACAATGTATTTCGTTAATTTATATTTTGCTATAACAATTATGCAATAGTCTTCGTAATATCAGTTGGCAAAGTCATTAGATAGGACTGCTTACCCAAATTCCTTATCAAATAAAAAAGGGAGTGTTCAATCAATGAAACTCTTTGTCATTTTTCCCATCTGTTTATTCTTAAATGGAGCTCATCCTTCTGTGCCACTCCCAGTCTAACTATAGATGTGTCAGTAGAACTACTTTCTTGGTTGGACTGCAGCCATGCCGAATATAAATCCGCATTAAATGTAAGAACATATATTTCCTTTAAATTTGTTCTTAGAGAAAATCGAATAACACATATATATGAGATAGAAAACATCAGCAAGCGTCTAAAATACCAATTTAGCAACCGCCTTCTATCTTGGAAGTATAAAACTACCTGTTTGAAGAATATTAGCGACGTGGTTTAAGACCATTAAAGCCATTATTGGCATCGCCCAAGGCACAAGTAAAGAACAGTGACGATAACAGACAAATGGGTATTAACGGCGGGGGAAGACGAAATTCTTTGGTACCGGATGTAGCGTCCCGAGACTGCTTAGCCGGTATGATAAGTCCGGAAGTGCAGCTGGATACACGTAATTCGAAGACGACATGGCAAATGGGCCTTAGCATGGCTCGAAGGCCAGCCCACGTCTACAAGGGCCTGACAAGTGCTAAAGTGACCGCCAAAAGTCAGGTAGTCACATAAACATAGTATTACACCGGGTATTGTAGCTATGGCTAGTATGCCTCGACAAAGTGGCAAAAAAGAAGCGAAGGCTATATAGCCCATGTCATTATGCTGGATGGAAAAATACGCCAGGACGTCAGGTGCTCTTTACTACTGAAATGGCAAGGAAGTGCAGGGCATATGTGTCGTCCTGCAGACCTATCTCGGTGAATAAAGACAACATCAAAGTGCCTCCGCTGCGGTTGGCAAGACTATCGCACACCACTAATGATCTATGCAAAGTAGTGACTTTGACACAGCTGCAATGTGCAAGATACACCAGCAAGGTGGACGAGTAATTATGTCGGGACTGGACCAGATGGAATGGAGGTAGATTGGAATGTTTGGTAGTGACAAATCCAATAGTACTGACTGTTCTTTAAGTCGCATTACTTTGCAGCATTTATGAGAAGACACACCTCATGGCAAATGTATCGCTGAGGGAAATGCATGCAGCTGAGGGAAGGAGCGCGTATAGATATCATAAACTCATACTCCTCACCAAAAGAGGGGGCTGAAACTGTCGCTTCAGTCCTCGTCAATCGGTGGATCAGGCAGTGCCAATCAAATCCGACCTTTCTACAGAATCATGCAAGATGTACGAGATCGCCAAGACATGCTCAACACCTGAACCCCTGAGTTTAAATTTAAGTTTAAGACACTAACTGATGTCTCACTGGTCAGTGTGCCCACAGGCCATGATGTGAGAGTCTTCTAGGATACCCTCCTGCCACATTAGGAAGTTGCAACCGAAAATGTCCCATATCTAAAAGGAGGCACAGTAAAAATTCAAAAAAGCACCAAGCCTCCCACAGACATGTTTTACCGGGCAGAAAAAATATATTTACAAATGCAGCACCACAAAAGAGACATTGTCCAGAGACGCAGGTAATTCTCTCACCTAGAATTCAACTACTCTTGGCAAAAGGTTCATCAACCCACGAAATATCGCATTGGCAACGCGTAACCTGCCCACTAAAACAGAAGACCTGTGTAACAGCTGAAGGAGGGGGGCAATCTGCAAGGGTGGCGTCAAAAAAGACAACCGAGTTGTGTAACAGTCGAGTCCTTCGCATTTCTTCCTTAATATATGATAGCGCTTAGAACTAGATGAAACAGCGTTATTCTATCTGATGAAACGAACTAATAGCTTCGTTTTGGGGACGGGAGAGCAGTACAGAGAGCTCCACTCTGCGGCGACCTTCTCGTCAAGCAGGGAATCCGGGTTGTGCATGACAAATCATGAGTGGTGGGCAATGCTTTGTTTGTTCATTTGCCAGTTTCGACGGGTGCCTGCATTGCCTTCGTGGGTTGTGCTGGCCTTCTGGTTATGCCAAATGTTCCAATTCCTTTCTGCTTGGCGACCATGCATAATCTTGCCGAGCTTTGTGCCTTCAAGGAATTGTTGAAAGCTAGGCTTGTGGGTAAAAATACAAGTTTTTGAAAAGGTAGAATCTTCAAACATCAAGCAAATGAAACAAATACCGGTTACTCTTATTAATTCTTCACTTGCAAATATCATAACTAAACAAAGTACTTTATTTTTTACATTTAGCCCTTTATTCAGCCACTCTAACGAGTTAGCTCTCATCCCTTCTCTATGTCCGAATAGCATATCTTCTTGACTTCTTAGGACGCATTTGAAGATCCAACCTAGCGGTAACAGAAACAGAACCCATCTGTGAGGTGAATTTTACTGACTTCTACAACTTGGTTACAGGTTTCGGCTTGAAGGGAGAAGCCCATTTGCTGACAATGCGCCAACATTTCATATTCTGCAAAAAAGCCATGGACAAGTATAGTCAGCCATTTGTTTAACGCGGAGCTGTCCACCGTAACTTAAAGGGATTAGTTGTGCTTGAGATAAGTCCTAATCGTCTGTGCTTTTCGGAAAGGATCTAGACAAATATTACCAGCGAATAATGAAGCTTGGAAAGTGCTAAAATAGGAACCTATGTGAAGCAGTTCCCCTAGATGAACACTTGACCCGGTTCTTTGATGCGTGGTTATGAGTTTATACTAATTTTTCTGCTGCTAGTTACTGCATTCCTTCGCTTGCCTATGCAGGGTTCCGACAAGTTGAAATGCCAAACCTAATAACATTGTTAAGAAGAACATATGAATAGAAATCGGCTGATGGTCACAGTTGGCTCATTCATTCTACCCTCACATCAATGATTACATTGCGATCGGTGACCCTAGAGGTTGGCAAGAGGATCAGTTGAGAACGAGGATAAAAAGGGAGAGGGAACATATTAGACCTCAAAAGTTTGCTTAGCTTTCAGTTTTGGCAACTAGTTGATTAATTGCTTACGAAGTGTGCATCCGTTGTACCAATACTCGCATCCTTTTTGCCCGTTGACAATACATATTCTGCTCGAGTAGCATGTCGTCTTTTACCGGGAAATTTGGGGGGCCAGAAATAAGCTACGTTGCGGTCTGCATTGTAGTACATTGTTCAGTTGACTACTTCTTCCGTGTGGGCTGGACTTCAGATCAGGCCAAAGCATGATGTTACACGCATACTACAACACATGAAGTGAAGACATTCTTAGGTACAAACAAAGGTGAAACGCTGAAATAAAAAGGCACTACTGAAGTACACATAGGTTGGAAGTTTAGTGGCATGCATCCGCGTCGTTTAAAACGCCGTGTTTGCAAATACAGTGGTGTTCCAAAAAGCAGTGGAGTTATAAAAAAATTCTCATCATGTAAATCTTGCCAATATTTAATTGGAACACAATGTAAGGACTGTATTGTAAATACCAAAGTCTATTCTAAGGAGTCTAAAATGGTTCCTCAAGATACAAATCCATTTAGCTAAGAGGAAGAGGATCGAGATTTTGGCTCGGCCAGAAGACTGGCTTCTCCTCCTAGGTAGAGAAGACAATAGCACCCCTAATTAGTATCTACAGCAGACACCAAGACAATGAATTCCAATGACGCTGGTAGAAAGGTGAAGTGAATATGAAAAGGCGCACGCAAGGTATATTCACGGTAACCTCGCATGCCAACCACGTTTAAAAAGGTAAAGATAAAAAAGCTATAATGCTGTTATTATGTGACAAAGTGGCAAGCTCACACGTACAATGGAAAAACGAATAACAATGTAACTGCCACGTTTCAGATGGTCACATAAACAAAGTCCTACACTTAGATCGTAGTGCATATTTAGGAAGTTGATATAGTTAAAAGAGTACGTACAGAGTCCGGAGACTTCTTACCAGGTAGAAGCGGACATTGAGCTGGGATGAATGCATGCATTCAGTGCAGATAGATGTGTTGGAGACTGTAATGCTTTGTTCATGTGACTACCTGATGTTCGGATTTGTCTGGCCCCTGTACTCGTGGGTTGGCCTTCGAGCCATGCTCAGGCCAATTTGCTCTGTTTTCTTCCGAATACATGCATCCAGCCTCACTTACTGTCTTCTTCTACACTACGGGAAGTCTCGGGACGCCACACATAATTGTTCTTAAGTTTGCTAATGATCTCGATGCGCAAATACGTGTTGTAACCTTTGTTTTGTGCGATTACTTCGCATTTTGCAATTACCGTAAGATTTGTCTGGCCCTTGTACTCGCGGGCTAGCCTTCAGGATAAGCTCAGGCTTAATCCCTTTTCCCCTCCTAGAGCGTATGTATTCAACTCCATTTACTGCCTCCTTCCAACTGGTGGGAGTCCCTGTAATGCTTTGTTTATGTGACCACCTGACGTTTGGCGGTCGCTTTAGAATTTGTCTGTCCCTTTTACACGAGGGCTGGCCTCCGGGCCACGCTCAAGCCCCGTTTGCCCTTTCTTCTTCGAATACAAGTATTCAATCTCACTTATGCCTTCTTCCATCCTATGGGAAGTCTCGGGACACTGCAGTCTTAGGACGCCATAAAAGGAATATAAAATTTTACGGTCGGCATAGATGTTACGAGAATCCCGAGTCAGGATTCGTGTTTTATACGTATTAATGACAAGACATTTTCCAAGACTCTAAAATATGCAGGATTCAAACTGATTGGTGACATAATTATGCCCCTGAGGTAAACGATTTGAGGCATTATTATTTGAATAAACAAGCACTTTCATAAATTTTAATCGTC